GTAACAAAAACGTGACAGCAAAAAGAAGGGAGTGTTTGATGGAAGGAGGGAAGAACTTTGTCAAGGTCCTTAAAAAAGAAATGTTTATATGAAATGTTTATGTACATGGAAGTAGCTTGATTCCATAAATGCCTGGGAGATTTATTTTTTCAGACAGAATGAGCACATTCTGAAAACATATGATGCCTTGGCTATTAGCCCTTTTGAAAAGATGTGTTTATATCTACTACTAAAGTTATTTTTATGTAAATATTTTAAATGTGTTGTTTTCAAGTGAGTTTACTTGTTTACCTGAAATTTGGAGTTTGATGGATTACATAGATGCCTCACTGGAGTCTTTTTGCCTATGTTAAGAGAGGAAAAAGGTCTTTCAGACTTTTTCTAGGTTTTTCTTATTTGTTTTAATAACTTTAATAAATAGAAGTACATTTAGAGTCTCACAGGAGAAAACAGCATGTAAAATTTATCTCGAAGAAAGAATGAAAGAATTTAACAGGTTTATCAGTTCAGTTTTACATCCCTCATTAATTAGCTTTTATTTCTAATGCCCTTATCATTGTAATTTGGCTACACCCCAAGCAGTTGTATTGAATACATTTACCAAATGAACACTTTCTTCCATCCTCTTTGCAAAAGTAACTTTGGAATTCGTTGGTTTGGGTGAGTTTGGTTTTTTTTCTTTAATGTGTGTATTAGATCAATGCTGTGTTAAGATCTCTGAAGAAGAAAGTGAAGGTGAGGTGTAGGGGATTTTTATTTACTTATTTTAGGAGAATTGCAGTCATGCCTGAAACTTTGAGGTGTGCCTCTTACTAGGATCAGCCTGCCTGCCCATACTTCTTTGATAGGTGAGAGTATAAATTATGGGGTCCCAGCTGCTTTGCATCTGTATCAACTCCTCAGTGTAACCCATTATTTTTGGAAGGGAAAAAGTGCAGACCCAAATAAACCATGATTTTAAACTAAATAAAGCATTCAAAGAGATTTGACTTCCCTATCCTTGTTCCTCCAGTGGCTCTTTGTTGAGCCATACAGTGGATGTTTCCATATTCAGTTATATTCTTCACGGTTAATTTATTGCAAAGGAAGCTTCTAAACAGCCATTGTTAAAATCAGCATGAGACTAGAAATAAAATCTGCTTTTATTTTAGTTTTTTAAGAAACTATATTGTGAATAGACATTACAATTGTCCTTTTACAACACTGGCACGTGCGCTATCCTTGCGTGACTAACCCATTTGATCATGGTTTCTGTCACTCTGAAGCCTTGGTTTGTTCTCCTTCACCTCCTCTTCCTCTTCTGTAACCCCTTCTTTTTTTCCTCTAGCACTCATGAATAGTGCACATCAAAAATGCCCTGTGGAAGAGGTATGTTTGACACACTGCTATGCAACTCTTGAATCAAGTATGCTTTGCCGATTTCAGCTAATGATTCTGTGATGGCACAGAAACAGCATAATTGTCAGCTTTTGCACAGTAAGACTCTACCACTTCCTAAATTGCACTTGCTATGCAAAAATTTGTCCCTCGGATAATTTCCTTTTCTCTCTAAAGAAATCAAAAAGAAAATACAATGTGGCCATTGAAAAAATTATTTGAATATAAATATGGCAAAAATAGAAAAACGAAGAGATTAATCCACAAGTGATTAAACTTTAGGAAGTTTCTAGCTGGGAACATTTAATTTTTTCTTTTTACATAAAGGGGGGTGAAATAGCTTCTTAGATTTTGTGCGTTAGTACTTTTCCCTTCTCTAAAACAAAAAGAGACATTAAAAAAGATTAAAGAACACATCTCAGAAATGAGCCATCAAAGCAAAGCCAGATGTGTTTAACACTTCTTTTTGTTTTATTCATGGATTGTTTTGACTACAGACAAAGAAGTTTCAACTCTAGGGTCACCGCAATGCAGAATGCAGGAATGTGTGGTGAGGAAGAAAAAAGGGGACAGGACCATCTCTCTTGGTGGTAACTTGGACATAGAGTGACTTAAACGGATTATGAAACTGCACCCAAAACCTTTTAGAAACTTCTCATATTTAATACAAATAATTTTATTTTTTTTAAACTTGGCCACTCTTAAAATCTGGAATTTATGATCAGATGCTGTATGTTCTCCATTTCATTGATAGTGGATTGGTAAGGGCTCTGCTATTATCCTCATCGTATTGCTGTGACAGTATATTTTAACCTCTTCAAAACTTTTGTTTCTTTTCTTTAAATAGCTTCTCGGACCTCTAGCCATAGCGAACAGCAGAGGGATAGAAGGTATGATGCTGTTTTTCATATTGCAATTAGGTGTTACTGTAAGGCTTGTTAGATTGTGTCACAGTATTAGTTTTTGTGGAATTCTCCTCTATTTTTTTTTTTTTTCCTTCTTTCTATTCTTAGTGTGTTTAAAAGTAAATTAGACTTGGAATAAAATAAAAATACTGTGATTCTTAAGCACAGGGTAGGTTAAGAGTTTGAGGAGTTTTCTCATCAACTTCTGTGTGTGTCCTCAAAAAAAAATGCAACCAACCATCAAGCCTCTGCAGAACTGTTTTACTTTCCTGACATCTATTTACAGAATCACTTGACAATGAAAATAAGCACACTTTCAGGCCTCCTTCCAGTTTCTCAAAGGGTATTGAGAAAGGAGGTCACCAACCTGGATAGCTGGTGAACTGAGTCTGCCATTATTTCAGGTGTGAAGAAATTGTAGCCCCTCCCCCCCCCTTTTTTTTTTAATTTCTTTTTACAATAGTTTTAGAAGTTATGCTTGTGCAGGTTTTTTTGTCAGCAGACAGAGGCTTCTGTAGCAGATGCTTCATCTACTCACAAAACTCACTTCTCATAGTGTATTTTGTGAGAGACTCTAGATTGGTCAGTGGTACTCTGGGGGCCGTGGTCTGGGAAGGTGGGCCATCACGGCAGCTTATGCTCTAAAGCAGTCGTTACAGTGATAAAACAGGAGTAGTGCCTACCGGTCCTTAACTGTCACAGAAGTCTCTATTGTGCTAGGTGCTGTAAGCAGATAGGCCCTGTCCCAAAGGCCTCCTGAGGCTTGCTGTGCCCCACTTCAGCGAAGTGGGAGGTTTCCCTAGAGGTCTGAGGGTAGACAAGCTTTTAGGTAGCCAGCCAGAAGGAGTTTTAACTATCCTACTGTTTTCACATTGTAGCAGGCTAAGGGCAAACACATGATTAGTTCTCATTACCTGTTGAAGACTAAGACTTCTTCCATCTAATTGAGTTACACTTGTGTTTTAGTACTTTAAACATGTAAATTATTTCACTGAAGCCAGTAAACCTACTTTTTGGCTTAGGCATTTAATTAGGTCCTTTGAATAGAAGCCTAAGTGCTTGTTAGAAAGGTCAGGTAAGTTACTTTGAAATAATGGAAAAACATCTTTGGTTACATCAAAAAGACCTGATTTCCCATGCTGAGAAAACCTTGGTCTTTTATACTTAAAAGAACTATTTAAAATGTTTTAGGTAATTATTCCCCTTTGCCTTCATTTCCAGGCGTCCTGAAATTACAATAGTTGCTGCTGAACCCCTCCGGCCATCCTCCTGGTTTCCAGGTGCAAACCCTGTCACTCCTCATGGATTAGGGTTCCCTTCTGCTTCATCTCATGCTCAGTGGAGGAGAAATGAGCATATTCCTGCTGAGGTGAGCGTGAATTTACATGAGGTGTGTTTGATTTACAAAGGTAAAAAGCACGTTAAGTTAGAGAGGAACAGAGTTTTTGCTTGCTTAGACTTTCATAACATTGAATAAAAGACTATGACAGCATTCTTTTCCTCTGCATATGTTAATTTAGTATTTTTAAATTTATATGCTCTTTTTTTTAAAGGATCACATCTGGACGTACATTAATATTTATCTCTCTGTTTTGTAGCTTCCACCATCATATGAGCAGGTGATAAAAGAAATCAATCAAGTGCAAGTCAATACAACAAATAACAATAATGCTGCTGCTCCTAGACATACCACTACTTCTGCAACACAAACTGACTTTCCAGAGGAACTAATCGGCCATTTGCCAGGAAGTAATGTAAAAACTAGTGTGCCTACACACTGGGAATCTGCAGGCTATCCGGGTGAGGCTGGTTTGGATTTCTTATTGATGCAAACCTTACTCTGTCTCCTGAAGATGTTCTTTATTATTGGTCTGTGCAGCATTTAATATGAATAACAGTTAAATTTCTGTGAATTATTACTGGTGTAAATTTCTATAAAAATCCCCTCTTCTGAAGAACTGCCATTGCATTCACGGTCAGACTATGATTAAACCTTGAAAGTTTTGCTCGATTCAGCTATAATGGCAATTGCTTTGAGGCCAGAGGAGGTCAGATGTCCAGCCAGAATAACAGCAGTGTTACACGTTCAGACTGAAAAGTGTGAAAACCAAGCTGGGGACAATACTGTACTATTCTTTGGTCTAGATGTTGCTTGCATGCCCCTCATGCTGCAAGCTAACAAGTAGTTTTAAACTCACAGTGTGTATATACCATGCATTTTAGCAATCTTCAGCTTCTTCCTAGAGATTGTATATTTTTTTTCATTCATCTTTTTAGAAAGAGAACTGCAGTTTCACAAGCAGCAGTAAGTTCTGAATGAAAACCATCATGTTTACCATTCCGATGGCTGACAAAAAATAACATAAATAAAGTGTTCTGGAATAGGTAACTGAAACCTTTTCTTTTCTGTTAGCAGGGCAGAGTCCTCTTAAACCTCCTAGGCCTTCTGCATATCTCCTGAATAGGTGTCTTTCAGAAAATAAGAATCCCTTAATAGTTTTTGAAGTGTCTGAAGGTCAGAGGTGCCAAGAAAATCCCAATGCTGTGATACCTCCTGTGCCAAAGCCAAGATCAAGAAGCAATCTCAGACCTGTGGTCAAAAATACTGAAAGTAAGGTAGACAATGGAGAAGTGAACCAGCCTACCACGGAAAGGCAGCAACGTCCAGTTCAGCAGTCACCTCTGTTAGATGACAGCTTACTAGACAATCACTTGGCGATGGACAGCATGAGTACAGAAAAGAGCCAAAATAGTATTGTTTCAAGGATCAAAGTTTTTGAATCCCAAGGAACTAATACCTCAGGATTATCAAAAAAGCCAGAAGTTGCCCCTCGTTCATTCACCCCAAGACCTATTACTGCAAAGAAGCCAGTAGTTGCTCCAAAGCCAGGGGTAAGCAGAATTTCAGGAGACTGGGATGCATGGACAGAAAGCAAATCAACACCTTCCAAGGAATTGCAGCCTCAACCTGAAGTAGTTGGGAGCAGTGTTGTAACCAAACCTGAGCTGCCAAAGAAGCCAAAACCTGGCCTTGTTAAAAGTAGTAGTAGTGATTTTCTTGATGTAAGGAGTGGATCAGTTGCAGAGAACAGCGATGGACAAAAGAAATTTCCCGTTCCTGCTCCAAGGCCTCTCGTTCCTAAAAAGTCACGTTATGCAGAAAATCCTGTCCTTTCTTTGGCCACACTAAAACCGATTGCTGCTCCCCCACAGGCTTCTGTATCTGCCCAAGAAAAAGTTTTCAAGTCTCTGGGGGAATTGTCACCTGCAGCCAACTCCTCAGCACCTGCTTTGCAAAATAATCTAGATGTGGAAAGAGATCTGATCAGTTTTGATGATGATGTTTTGCCCATAAGTCCAGCTTGTGTAGTTAAAGATAGCATCAGTTCTGAAGCAGTAGCAGGTAAGAAGAAATTTTTTTAAACTGTCCCTGTGGTTACTCTTTGCAGGTGTATGAGCCTGTGTGAGTTATGTCTACCTGTCTTGGTGGGGTTTATGTGTGTATATGAAATTCTTGGTTTTCTATTATGTCAAGATCACTATGAAATTACTTGGATTTTGAGACTCAGGAGGTTTCAAGGCTATATAAATCTCAGAACTTGCCTGCTGGATTTATTACGTGATTACTAAAATAATGATAAAAGACTTGATGTTATACGCTAGATGTCACCTCCAGAATGTATCATAATTCTCTCTGGGGAACTTGGGACATCTTATCTCTCACCATCTAATCTAATTTATTTGAGTGCCTGAAGTTCTGTAGTGGAAACCTAGTCATCTAGAGAAGCAGCAATGTTTGTTACATTTATGGAAACTTGTGATCAAACATACTGGTATACTCTGTCCATCTCACCAGTGCCTAATTGTCTCTTTCCTCTCTTTGTGGTTTGTCTTGTCTTGTCTTGTCAAGCAACTATGTGCTTGTTATGCAACTTCAATTTTTTCTAATAAGTGAAAATAATTATTTTGTATGGACAGATTAATTACTACAGCTACATCCCTTTCATAAACCTTGTTTGATTCCATTAAGCACTTGGGGTTGATTTTTTAATGCTGTTTTAGTTAAAGACACAGGTTGGTGTTGGGCTGTCATTAAATTTTATAGCAATAGGTTTTTCCCTCTTAATATTCAGGTATGTCCTGATTTAGCTTATCAGCTCCATTGCAATCCAGAGAGAGTTCTGCTTTAAAACAGATGGTGTATGTCATACAAAATGTTTGTTCAAGGGACTATGATTTTTAATTTTTTTTAACCTCATTTGTCATTAAACATCTCAGCTTTCTGAAAAGAGAAGCATAGATACTGTGTAGTTGTCACAGTAAATCGATATTAATGATTGTTAACAAATGCAATTTCTTCACAGTTTGTGGATTATATAATTAGATGTATTTCTGATTTGTTATTGTTTCTCCTCTCTATTGGCATAAAAACCCCAAGGCAGATGTAGAAAGTCCCTTAAAGCCCTAAACTGCTAACATCAGCATGTATGGACATACAGATCTCAGGGGAGCTTAATGAAAGCAGTGAAATAAGGCAGCAGAAGATCCTGTAGGGAGAGGTGATTAGCTCAACATGGACACAAGTCCATTTTTTCTTGGACTGACAGATTCCAGGAACACTACAGAAGCTGTACCAAGCCTGGAAGGAAGCAGGAGTACAGGGTGACTGGAGAGGTGTTTCGTACTTACATCAAGGAAGTGTATGACTGATGGTGTCTAGCTGGGAATAGTCATGGTCATTGCATCTGGGGACTGGAGTCGTGGAACAGCCACTGTGCATGTGATAGTTTTAGAAGAAAGTTAGAAGCGTGAGGGAAGACTCTTGCTTTCTGTGCATTTAGGGTAAATCTTTTGTAGTTTCAGTGATTTTATTTTGATTAATACATGCAACAAACAGAAGGAAAATGTAACTGTTCTAAGCAGTAGGCAAGAAAAGAGAATATTTAAATTTTGAAAGTGCATAAAAAGGAAAATGTTTTGGCTGTGTACGCTAAAAGACTGCCTTTCCCCCAACCTGGAAAAATTAAGTAACCTTAATTTTTCTGTTAAATCAGAGTTTGAGTGATCCCAAATGAAAATCACCTGAAAAAATAGCTTTCATGATAAAGTGGTAAGAATGTCAGTCTTCCTCTTTCTGGTTGGTGTCCTAGGTGTTATTCTTGATTTAATTAAGAAAAAAATACTTACCATTCTCATGGTCAACAAAAGAATTATTCAGATGATAGCTTCCTGACTTCTTGAGTCACCTGTCCATGATGTTATTCATTCAATAAAATGGCATCTTTGCTGCAACCCTTTCTTACCTACTAAAGAGAAAAAGGTCTGACAGCATTATCACTTTATTACACTGTAAAATTAGGATTCATTCCAGATTTTTACAGGCATTTGTGAGCTCAAGATCATATCCTGTACTCTTTATTACTAATCCAGCACTATGTCTTGAGAAAGCATCCACAAGAAGAACACTGGCTTTCTGAAAAATGAGGCAACACGGAGCACTAACACTAGCTATTTCTCATGTTCCCATAGGAACAGCTTAGGATTTGCAAGATGAATCCACAGTAAAATGTTTTGTAAAGGCAGGAAGAGAAGCTCTAATCTTGGTCCCATTTCCCCAGACCTTTGCATTTCTTACATATTTGTCACTGTCATTACTTAGCAAAATGACATTGCTCCGCTTGTTGTTATGGCAACCCTAGGAAAGGAAGAAGGCTTTTATGCAGTGGTGTTTGAAACTAAGCACCAACAGCTTGTTTGTCAAAGAACAGTGTTACCTCACAGATTGTAGTGTTCACAAAAGTTAATTTTTTTCTGATATAGGACAAATGCGTCTGGTACTTAGACTAATGTAAATAGAACTGGACAGATCGATCACTGCTGCTGCTAATGCCTGATGCAACAGTAAGAAGGTGAAGTGTTCAGCTGATGATGAGGCAGGCGCAGAAGTTGAAGTGAGCATATGAACGAAAAAGTGAAACAGGCCAAACAAATGCAGAATCTCCACAGCAATTTAGTTGACTGACATAAGATGCCAGCTTCCTCTAACAGAAGGCTACCATCTCCACAGTAGTGAAAGATATTTGAATATTATCTATGTGCTAAGATCAACAGTGTTGGCAACAAACCAGTTTATAGTTTCACCAGTTTAACTGTCAGTGTTAACTGGTAGTTTAACTACCAAAGCTAGCTGGATGATTTTCTTTCAAGTTTACCTCAGGCAGTCCCATGGGTTTCATCAGTGTTTGACAGCATCTCCAACAGCACAGCTTTCAGTAGAGTGAACTTGCTCTTACTCAAACATTAATCATTTTATCTTTGCCCAACCTATATGGAGGGGGGGAACCGTTCTGGTACAAATAGAGACTCTGGGTACCAAGATCCCTTTCAAAGGTTTCAGCATCTACTCTGTCACTTGAAGTCTGTGGGACCTTTGGAAGCTCTACAGCTCTGAGATTCAGAGGTGAACTGTGGCAGAACCTTGCATCCAACTCGTGCCTCTGATGCTGGCCCAAGGGAAGTGCCAGCAAGGAGAAGTCAGGAATGACAAATATGTAGAACTGCTCCTTTCATCAGCAGCCAAAATTGATGCCAGTTTTAAGTGCCGTAATTTTGGACTCAAAGGCTAGAGATAATGTTCAAAGCCATTTGTATCCTAATGAAACTACTCCGGTTCAAGTCCGTCATTTAGAATGTGAAAGCATCTGTTTGGGACTCTAAATCTTGAGGTGCTAATGCCTTGATGACAGTTGTGATATTTTGGATCATCTGGAGTATTTTTACATTTCTCTTATAGCTGGTAACAGGGATTTGTGCAGTTCCTGAAGGTTAAAAGTTTTGGTAATCTGTTAGGTGGGCTTTCTTCTCACTAATCCATTTTTAAAAAGGCTTGAAAATGAAATCCTAGTGCAAGTTGAACTGAGTGTAAATTCCATGGCTTCAGAAGATCCATGATTTTACCCATAACTTATATTAATTGTTATGTTAAAGCATGTAGTGTGCCTCCTTGCTAAATATTCTAAGAATGTATGTTTTGGACAAAGAAAGTGAGGTAACAGTGCATTTAAAGCACACATTTAAATTAAAACCTGGAGGTGATCTTACTAGAATGTTTTCATTCCTTTTTGCATGTGGAGAGTTATTCTTCTCTCTCATCTTCTCTCTTTCTAAAACAGCATATAATTCACTGATTACTCTATGCCTGATATACCAGAACTCAATTTAAACCAAATTCTTAGAAAAGTAGTTCAGAGAGCGCCTTACCTTACCAGCAGGAGACAGCTCTCTCTTTTGGTATCTTAATCATATTAGTGTATTTCAATTCTAACAGTAATACTACTGCATTTCTTAATTGTTTTATCTATCTAGCTGTCTATCTATCTATCTACTTCATCACAGTATAAAAGTTCATTTCTGCCTGTATGGTGAAAAAAACACCAACCAAACTAATGCTGCTATCCATTTATATGTATTGCTCCTTCTTGTGGCATGAACGGTAGAGTCTGGGTGACATTGTCAATTCAGAAAAATTGCTGCTTGAACTCCAAATTTGTCTGCTGTGGGGATATTGACCAGCTGCTTGTTTTTAATTGAAGGAAAAGAAGGAAAAGAAAAAAAGAACTGAGATATTTCTAACTGGTAGATTAGTCCAGACATATCTTCAAAATAATGCAGCTTTTCTTAGGGTTCTGCAGCGTTACTTCTGATGACTCTTTGTGCTGGTTTTGGCTGGGATAATTTTCTTCATAGTAGCTAGTACGGGGCTATATTTTGGATTTGTGCTGAAAATAGCGTTGATAATGCTGAGATGTTTTAGCTATTGCTGAGCAGTGCTCACACAGAGCCAAGGCCTTTTCTGCTTTTCCTCCCACCCCACCAGCGAGGAGGCTGGGGAGGCACAAGAAGTTGGGAGGGGACACAGCTGGGACAGCTGACCCCAACTGACCCAAGGGATGTCCCAGACCATATGACATCATGCTCAGCAGATAAAGCTGGGAAGAAGAAGGAATGGGGGGACATTTGGAATGATGGCATTTGCCTTCCCAAGTAACAGTTACATGTGATGGAGCCCTGCTTTCCTGGAGATGGCTGAACACCTGCCTGCCGATGGGAAGTGGTGAATGAATTTCTTGTTTTGCTTTGCTTTGCCTTGTGTGCATGGCTTTTGCTTTACCTATTAAACTGTCTTTATCTCAACCCATGAGTTTTTGCGCTTTCACCCTTCCGATTCTCTACCCCGTCCCACTGGGGGAGAGTGAGTGAGCAGCTGTGTGGGGCTTAGTTGCCGGCTGGGGTTAAACCGCCACACTCTTGTGGTTATTTTAAAGTTACCTGTCTCCTTTTTTACTTACTGCCAGAAGTATCATCCCCAGAAAAGAGCAAGCTGTCTCATCCATTTTAATCTGC